ATCCAAAATTTTCAGCCTATTTTTATAATTTAAAAATTATTATATTTCATGTAAAGTATTCACATTATGAATTATAAATTGTCTTCTTAATTTAAATGTTCATATTTCTATTTTCAAAACTCTTATTTGTATTTTTTTTAATTCCTTAACATAAGTTAAAAATGCTTTATAAATTTTTTTTTCATTTTTTTCATTTAAAGAATGATAATCTTTTTTGTTTCAATAGCGCTATGAGTGTTGTTTCTATCTACATATTTGAGTGTATAAAAATTAAGAATATTTAAATTAAAAAATAAAGAAAACTATATTCAAGACATAAATGTATTTAAATAATTAATATATATCACTAATGATTTTAATATAAAAACAGTTTGTGATCCAAAGATAAAAATTCATAAAAACAAATATTCAATTCTTAGTATTTCATTTCTATTTTCAAGTTAAATTAAATTATCTCCAATTTAAAATTTATATCCTTATTTTCGAAAATTTATTTACTGCATCCTTAATTAAAGTTACGTGTGGTGCAATTATTATTGCATGCATTATTTTCTACACTTCAATTAATTTTGAAAAAAATTAAGACGGCCTTAAAGCAAAACAGGATGAAGTGACATGAATAATAAAAATTTTAAGTAAAAAGTGAAAAAAAAGCTATTAAAAATTATTATTAAAAAATAAATACCTTCAATTATATATAATAATATTATTTTACATAAGTTAGATTTTATAAATTTAATTTCTTTGATATCATTCACACGATATAAAAAAATTCAAAAAAATTATAAATAAGCTATACGATATTAAAATTAATATTTATCTTATAAATAAAAATATATTATTTAAAAAATAAAATATTAATAGAGTCAAAGTTTACTATATATATTTTAAAATTAAATGTGTGAATTACACTCTCTTCCATTACAATAATTTTATTTTTTACATACATCTTTATTAATTGAGTAATATTAGCAAAACACTCTTTGTTATACAAAAATTATAAATTATGTGAGTCATTTTTTCTCAATCATAAATTAAAGTTTCTTTCTTATACTTTTTTAATTTTTAATAAATTTTAATCTATAATAAAGAATATGTTGTTAACATTCTTCTTATTATTTTTATTCTAAATGAAAAATAAAGTTGTTAATTAATTTTTTATTAGCTTGCATAAATTTTTTAATTTTTTACAAATAAATATTTTTATATTTATAAAATTATTCTAATTTTATTATTTTTTTCAAATTTAGATTTTACTTTTAAGAGTCTTATACTCTTGTATCTTAATTTATGGTTATATATATATATATATATATATAATTTTTTACACTATATAATATAAGTATTATTTTAAAATAACTTAAATTGTTAAAATTATTTAATTTAGTGAAAATATTTATGATTTTGAGGCATACTATTTATAATTATAGAATTATGTTAAAATAATAAAAATTTATTGTAAAAATAATTTTATTATATATATAATTATTTAAAAATATTTTTTATAAAATAAAATATATATGATGTCATAAAATTGAATCTCATTTGATATAATCTATTTTAATTTTATAAATATCATTATTATTCTATTGTCTTTCTTTTCTATAATTTTAAGTAGAAAAATTAAAATTTTTTAATTATCATTATTAAGATGGAGTAATACGAGAATGGTTAGATTACATTATTAACCATACTGTACTTATATCAATGTTATGATATGTTTAGATCAATGTTATAAAATTTGAATCTGTTATTAATTTGCTTTAAATACTAGGTTAATGAAATATTGGTTGAATTAGTGAGTTATTCGTGAAACCGGTTAAATTGGTTTATAATAAATATTATACCTCGTATGTACTTTACATAAAATAACTTTGGTCCAATAAATATGTGTTTGTTCTCATAGTTAAGGTTTTATTTCTTTTACATTGTAAACCCACAAAATGTGTGTCATGCCTTTCTAAATTTTATTGTGCACTCTTGCAACAATAAAGATTAAATTGGAGACTCATTTTTTTATTTTTAAATTAATATTTTTATCACGTATTTTTTTAATTTTAAATAAATTTTAACTAATAATAAAATATATAAAAAATATATATATATTACTAGCATTTATCTTTAAAATTATTCCTCGATTCAAACAAAATTAGCTTGAGTTACCAATTTTTTCCTAACTAGTTAGACCAGAAATCGAAACTTTGACCAGTTTAATTCATATATGGGATTGTTTCTGCTTGAGGAGAACCTGTATAAACCGGAAAGCACGAACGGTGCGATCGAACCAAGCCAGCTGCTGTAGAAGTGAGGTTACCGTTTCTACTCGGTAGCTCTCCTACATACATAAGGATAAGGTGCTAATTTTAATATAAATAATATATATGCTATCGGTTGAACAAGTAACCCACCAACATCTTAACCGAGTCATTAGTCAAGCTTTGTTTGATAACACTAGAGCAAAGAACAACTAAACACTTATAAAAAATATTATAGATATGTGACAATATTTATTTTACTTGTTTTATTTTAAAAGATAAATAAGAGAATTTTTACTTAAATACTAAATATTTAATGGATGAAAGGTAAATATATTTTTATATTATATATATATATATATATATATATATAACCTATTAGATTTAAGTTAAATAAAATGTTTAAATTGAGTGTAAGAGTTTTTATACTTACATTGTTGTAAGAAAATTCTGTTCTATATATAAATATAGAAAGAGAGATAAATTTAAGTTTATTAATTTTTTCTGAATTTTTATCTTATTTAAAATTCCTTATCATAAATTAAAATTTAAATAAGAATTTAAATTAAATATTTAAAAATAAGACTAAACCTAAAAAAAAACTTATATCAAGAATATAAAACAAATTTAAGACATAAATTAAATACTTTAAGCCAAGCCTTTTTTTTTAATAAATTTTGCCTAACTTATTTTTACTCCTTTAACATATCTCACATTAGTAATTAACATGATTCCAACACCAATTAAATTTACCATTAATGCTATTAACTTAAAGTTGAACATAAATGATATTTTCTCCTTTTAACTCCTAACTTAGGATAATTTTAAGTTACTCTTTATTCTAATGTGATCTTTTTTAACTTTTTACATCCAATTCAATCAAATTTGATATAAATTAAACTTGTAAAAAATAGAGTTTTATCTATTTTAAGTATTATTCTGTGAGACCAAATTAGATTTAAATTTTTTAAATTTAACTAAATAAAGTCTATTAATTATTATGTCTAAGTTCGAATGAGTCAAATAATCCATTTTGCCAACTTATGCTCCACCACATGCATTAAAAAGCACTGTTCTCTAATGCCATAGAATAATTTTGTTTATTTTTATCCTTTGTAAAAAGAAAATGATAGACAAAAACCCTTTGCAATAAAGTATGCATTTCATGATTTTTAAGGTCAAAAGTATCATGGAATCATGGTCTTCACTTTTATTAAAGGTGATTAATAGGAAGGTGATGTGGGGGCTATCTGACAAAGGAACTAAACGTTAGAAAATCAACGGTACATATTTAACTGTGAATCAAGGACTAGTAAAACAATAATGGAAAGAAGTTAACAATTTGACCATAATTTTAAAGATTCACAACTGAGAAACGGGAAATGGTTGGTTCAAATGTCAACTCAAATAATGTCTAGTAGGAGATAATTGGCTATTCCGCCCTTTTTGCTTCTTTTTTTCTCCTTACTGTTGAAGCGAGTGAATATGCCACTGCTGGCCATGGCCCTCATATCATAAATAAATTAAAGGAAAAGAAAAAGCATTCATGAAAATCATCAATATTCCCTTGGATCTTTCATGATTAAAGATTTGATTTTGATAGCCATGTTTGGATTAAATTTCAGTGAGAAAGTATTCTCATAGAAGATATAGGCATGGTATTCGGAAGCATGTCAGCTGTAGATATTTTAACATGTGCAGAGATGTTCTATTTATGGCTTTCGACAAAAAAAAGGGATCTTTTTTTGGTCCAATCAATCAGAAAGGAAACCCCCAAGTGTGATTGGATGGAGAGTTTGACGGGGAAAATAAGCAAGCGGATGATTAAATTCTTATTTTTGAATTACAAATTTTAAAATATTTATAAAATGAAACAAAAGAAATTACAATGTTTTAGGATAATCTGTTATTTTATTTCTTTTATTTTAAAATAAATTTAAATTAAAAAATTAAAATAAAAACGTTTACACCCCTTCATTTTTTTTATTTCAAAGCTCTCCTCCCCAACACAACCAAATTTGACACTTTTTATCTTTTGGCCACCAACTCAGGACAAAACATAGCAGACATCATCATTTTTAGAACCTTTAATATAATGTTGTGATAAATTCACAATTCTTCTGCCCCATTGTTTCATGGAGACCGTTTACATAGTATTCCGCAGTTTTGACTATCGTAACGGCATTCTCCAAGTTTCACACACTTCACTAACATTCACAATAGTTTCTTGTATACATTTACTTGATATTGTGTTTCTTGTATAAATAAAAGTTATGTTAACAGAAATAATTATAACACCTAACATATTTTGAGGTTAGCGTTAATTATACTTGTAACATTTATAATTGAAAAAATATATCGACTTCATACACACCTCTTACTTTATTATTTTTAAGAGTACTGTATGCTTAGTTCGTACGTAAAAATAAGAGATGTATAGCAGGAGTGTCAAAGTAAGGAGTAAGTGTAATTTTTAATTAAAAAAAGTGTAAGTGTAATTGATGCTAAACTCTAATTTTTTTTGGGATTAATATATGACATTTTTTCATAGTATTTGATATTATTAATGTAATTTTTTTCTTTACCACCTAAAAAAAAATTGCATAGAAAACCCAAGGTTACACTGCACAAAATACATTTATAATTATTGTTGTGTACAGAAACAAATATAAATTATGGTACAATAATATTGTCCGTATGTGGCATTCATAGCCTTAAATTCCTTTCATTATTTCATCCCAACCTAGACAGCATCTAACAGATAGCCAGAACATTCAATGGGTGTGGGTGTTTGTCTCTCTCAAGTCTTTTCTATTCTCCTATACTGATACTGTCTTTTATGACTCTCCTCTACCACTTGTGGTTAATTTGATGAACTATTGCTTCTCTTTTACTCCATCATACATTCATAAGTGAATGTGGGTTTATTTTATTTTTCATTTTTAACCTTTTGGTAACATCATATCATACGTGAAACTTTTTGGTAAGATATATATATATATACACCATCAGACCAAGATTTGTAGCTGTCGGTGGAGAGGGTAAGCATCCTATGACATAGACATATCCATTGGGAGTTTATCTCATAACTTACATTCACCTCCAAGTTCCGTTGGTAGCCATCTCAGTGTTAGTAACCTTACAATGCCTTTTTAAGTCTTGTTGATGCTACGTTCTGCCAGGTACCAGCTGTTGTAGCAGTTTGCACTTGCAAATCCTCTTAGTGCACTTGTCTTTCAACCCTTTTTCTTTTATTCCATTTCAATTGTTGTCATCATATTAATATGTTTCTTGGTGGTGGCTGGTGGTTCTGGATGCTTTTCATCCTCAGTAAATTGCCAGCTGTTGTATTTTTTCAAGTAACATAAAACTGTACATAATATTGGTAGTTGCGGATTTTCAGCTCAGAGCTAGCTTTTCACCTTTTGAAATCAAAGTTTTGAAGAATAGCTTGTTCCCTTGTCCAAAACGAGAGATATATACTGTTTGCACCCACCATTCCATCCATGAACACTGGGCACGATGACCCTTTTAAGAGCATTAACATAGGACTATTTGGAAAGACTAAACTAAACACTTTTCCTTCGGATTTATAAATATGAAGCAGTTTTTTTTTTTTTCTGTCTTTGATTTTATTTTTTGGTGGAATCTATTATGCAAAACAAAAGCTGTAGTATGTAGAAAATGATACAAGTCCTAGCTTTTTAAAATAGTAATGAGTATCTGATAGTCAAGGATCCAGAGGATTTAGAAAGGTAGAGCCTTGAAGCAGTGTTTTTCATGTTAGGCACTTGAGCTGCATAAGCTTTAGATATATATTTTTTTAACTTAAGGGTGATTATATAAGCTTTAGAAGGTTTGAAGGTAAGAAAACTGGTGTTTCACATGAAATGCAGCATATATACTAATTAATGTAGCCAACTTTATTGAAGCATTGATGTATGAAAACATGTAATGTCCCTCGAATTTGAGATTTAAAGGGTGAAATGAGTATGCAATAGTTGTGAACTGTGTGTAGTTAATTCAAAATTATTCATGCTCCTCCATGCGCAGTTACAATACATTTAGCTTCCCATCCAATTTGACTTAAGAGTATCCTTTTACTCAATAATTGTGTGTTTTATTGGCCATTCAAAGGGAGTTTCCACTTCATCATGTCAAAAGGTTGAAACTGTGAAGGACGAGCTAGCAAAATGCTTCAAATGGTGGATAAGATGTCACTTGTCAGTAAAACTGTTAATTAATAGTGAAGTAATTAACGCTTGTCTTCAAATTATATATGGGTGGAATGGACCACGAAATTCATGATTACGTAATCTGTACCCGTTGTTCTTTGGTTTATTTATTTATTTATTTTATTACTGATTGAAATCTTTAGGATCAAATAGAGAAACTAAGGTAGGAAAAATAAGTTCTCCTTATTGATAGTCATCGATCAATGGCATGAAGTTTTCTCTTTTGGCTCTTGAATAGTACTTGAAATCATGAACCACAAGTCATGGCTTTGGAAGAAAAGATCTATGGAGAAAACAATCTTTGCAGTGGACAAAGCTGTCAATCCTTCTAGAATCATTGAAGAAGAGGTACTCAAAGCTTTATCTCTTTTTTTTTTTTGTGATGCTGTTTGTTTTCCTCATTATGTTATCTATCCCCTTGTTTTTCGGTTTTCTTCAAACCAGTAACCAGCTAAGCCACTATCCTTTGTTAAGTTTTGCCTAAGTATTGATAACTGAATTTATTAGAGAAATGTTCCATCAGATTGTTATACTGACAGTACTACAATTTTCAGGTACACAACCTTACAACAGATAAGGAAACTGGACTGGAAAGATCATCAATAAGTCTAAATGAGAAGTTGGCAACAGTCCTCCTTGCTTCTCATTCGGGAGATGAAACTTTAGCAAAATATGCTCAAAAGTCCTCACAGGAAATTAGAGGTAACTTACTGTCACATTCCCCTTCAACTTTTCCCACTATTATGGTGCTCCTTTGGTGATTTCCCTTTTAGTACATGCTTTCTGCTCCTGCTCTTACATTTCTTTTTTGGGCATACAATTTCGTTTTGGCTGATCCTAATAAATTTCTGATAAAAATATAGGCAAAGACAAGACAAAACAGGAAGTGGAACCTGTTGAAGGTTTAGATGGAAAAGCATCTGCTGAAACTGTTTCTCCTAGAGATGCAACATTGCAGGAACCTTTGCAGCCACTAAACTGCGTTCAAGAAGAACAAGAGAAAAAATTGTGTGATGCCATTCCAAAGATATCAAAAGAGCATGAGAAGACTCGGATAGAATTGGAAGAGAAGTTGAGGGAAACAAGTAAAAGGATAGAGGACTTAACTACTGAAAATACTCATCTAGCTAATGCCTTACTAACCAAGGAGAAATCAATTGGTGACTTGGTTAAACATAAACAAGAAACAGATGCAGAGTTTAATACATTGATGGCTAGGTTAGACTCCACAGAAAAGGAAAATGCTTTCCTAAGATATGAGTTTCACATGCTGGAGAAGGAGCTTGAGATTCGGAAGGAGGAGATGGACTATAGCCGTCAGTATGCAGAAGCATCACATAAACAGTATCTTGAGAGTTCTCAGAAAGTCTCCAAATTAGAAGCTGAGTGTCAAAGACTTCATCTCATGCTGCGCAAAAGATCACCTGGTCCTGCTGGTTCGGTGAACATGAAGAATGAAGTTGGAATGGTGAGAAGAAGAAAGTCAAATCCTACCAGAGATTTGATTTGCAAAAATAATGACATTGGAAACACCACTGATTTGACTGAAAAAAATTTCAGCTTGATGATCAAAAGTTTACAAGATCTGGATGAGGAGAACAAGGCTCTCAAAAGAATTTTAACCAAGAAAAACTCTGAACTAGATTCTTCAAGAATCATGTATGCTGAAACCGCTTCTAGATTATCACAGGCTGAGATTCTGCTTAGAAAGATTTCTGAAAATCAGAAGTCCATGGAGCTAGCAAGGTGTTATCCCACATCAAATGAACTTCCTTTGATACCAAGTTTTGACATTTATAGTGATGATGAGGCTCTATCTTCTGGATCCTGGGCAAATGCTCTTATTTCAGAACTTGAACATTTAAGAACTACAGAGGCTAAAAATCACCGAAGCAGTAAAGCCAATGAAGTTCAAGACATGAGTTTCATGGATGATTTTGTTGAGATGGAGAAACGAGCTATAGTTTCTATAGATACACCTCAAAAAGGATACTGCTCTGACATAACTGGAAGGGAGCTAGTGCCAGTTGAACAAGATCATCTATGCTTCAGTGAGAGGAAACACGAGATCAAATCCAAGCATACAACTGAAAAATCATTTGACTGGCTTCAGATTGTTTTGAATGCAATCTTGGAGGAGAAATTCATATCGAAGCGGAGTCTTGATGAACTGTTTGAAGACATAAAAATAGCTTTGGGCTGCATAAATCCCACAGCTGCTTGTAAATCTGACACAACTGAAAAGTCAAGGCATCCTGGAGAATCTGATTCTTTTTATGTTAACAGTTTCAATGGTTTTGCAGAAGCAGAAAGCAAAAAACATTTGAATTCTAATTTGAGAAAGTCAGTCCATAGAATTATCAAGCTCATTGAAGGGATTGCTCCCAATTCATTTATCTGCAACAATAGTTCAGATTGCATGGAGGAAAACCAGCATTCAGACACATCCCAATCGCCAACATCAAAAGAATATTTTGTTCATGTTTTCCAATGGAAGGTCTCAGACTTGAATCCCCTCCTGCATCAACTTGTTCACACCTGCAAAGATTTGTTAACAGGAAGAGCTGATTTTGAGAATTTTGTTGAGGAAGTGGCATTTGCTATGGACTGGAGCATTAATAACTGTGCCAACTCCACAAATGCTTCAATTGCAAGGGATAAGATCAAGAAGCATTTCAGCTATTATCTACTCCAAAATGAAAATGAAAATAAAACAGATGTTGAAGATAAACAGTCTTCTTACTCGCCCTCATTTGCATGTCCAGATGATCAGTGTGAGATCTTCAACACAAAGAATAGTCAGTGTGATCACCTTGAAGAAATTAGAACATTGAAGGATGATTTGAGAAGCACCAAAACTGCAAGGAAAGACTTGGAAGTAAAGATGCTTACAGCAATCCACGAGAGTCAGAAGTTGACAGAACAATGTCAAGAAGCACAAAATAACATCAAAGGTTTAGAATCAGAAATAGAGACACTGAAGGAATCCAATGCAATAATGGAAGATCAGATTGAAAAACAAAAGCTGATAAATGAAGATCTTGACACACAGCTTACAATGGCTCAGGCCAAATTAAGTGACATCTTCCAAAAGTTTTCCTCATTAGAAGTCGAATTAGAGGACAAAAAGCACTCTTACGAGGAACTAGAAGCAACATGTCTTGAGCTTCAGCTCCAGCTTGAAAGGTAATGCTTTAAATTCATTTTTAAGTTTCTAATCCTACTGGAACTTTCTTTTACTATGCACAATGAATCTGATTATGAGAATATGAAAAAAAAAAAAAAAACTTAACAGCATTGCAAAGAAGGAATCTCCAACATATGGCAGATACGAAGTAGAAAAGATATATCAAACTGTAAGTAGTTCACATCTTATTTAATTCAAGATACATGATTGTAACACTGATATCTTAAGTTGTTTTCATTGACTCTAGTAATTTCTGTATGTTGCTAATTGGCATACATACTGTTTTCCATTGCATTATCAATTTCATTTAAAATTTCTTTTGACGTAAACACTTAGTTAATAAACCTTTATAAAAAAAATTCAGGGCTGGGAGATCACATCTGCTTCATCAAAGTTAGCAGAGTGCCAAGAAACCGTTCTAAACCTTGGAAAACAACTCAAGGCACTTGCTTCATCAAGTGAAGCAGCACTTTTCGACAACAGGGTTGTCTCCACAACTAGTACTATGGCCAACCCAACCCAGAAGAAGAACTTGATCAAACGATCCTCTCTACGCAATCAAATGCAAGCTGAGGATGAAGCTAAAGCAGGGAAACATCAAAATGGGGTAAGTGAAAGTGATAAAGATGCGCAAAAGCCACCCCTTGTTCAATCAGAAAACGAAAATGCTCTTGAAACTCCTAATAATAGCATTGTTAAAGGTTCAGAAACAAGTCTCACTTCAGAGCAAAATGATGGTAGGAACAATGCCACTGGGTCTATGGCAATTGTGCAAAGTAAAAAGAAAGGAAGCTTTGGTTTTCTGAGGAAGCTGCTATCGAGAAGAAATAAAGGGAAGGGTAAGGGAACCAAGTTATTGGCCAAAGCAAAGCACGAATAAGAATTTTGTTGCCTAGAAGTTTAAGCTCCCTGCTTCTGCTACCTGATATCATGTTTGAATTTAGCACGTCATAGATTTTGGTGTCACATGCTTTTGTCTTTTATTGGTTAGTGATGGCTTTGATGAGAGAGAGAGGGTTGCTTTTGTAAATATAGGTGGTGTACAGACGCATTACTTCATTGGTATTTGAGAATTGAGATTAAACGGTGAGAATGAGATTTACTTGCAGCATTTATTTTTACCTTAGAGGGTAAAAAGAAAAGAAAAATTCTACATTTCTACATATCTATCGTGAATAGCTTAGCTTTAGACAGCTGAATAACAATTTTAAATACTATAGGTTGTTTGTTTAAGATTAACATAAAATAACTTTATGATATAGTAAGTGTTTTTTAAGAAGCTTTTTGACGTCTGAAAGATCATTGAAATAACTTTTTGAAGTTTAATCACATTTTAAAAACTTATATAATTATTACCTCTTATAAAAATGCCTTTTTATTAAGAAATATTATAAGAAACAAACAAACAAATCTTAACCTGAAGTTATAAAAATTTACAAGATCTTGTTAACGGGTGTGTAAAGGGTACTGATTAAAGAATATTGAATATATTTTATTGAATACTTTATTTACTTAACAAGGAAGTGTTAAATGACTTTTATAACTTTTGTCCAATATATAGCATTTTATTTTAATAGAAAATCTCTACTTTAATTTTCTGAGAATATATTTACAAAGAGCTTTTAACTTCTCGAACAGAGCAAATTTTTTTTTCTTTCGTCAAATTCATTCATGCAACTTGACTTATTCCAACATAATGTAATTTACAAAAAAGGTAAAAAAAATGTAATATAAGTATGAAAGTTGTAGAATATTTGTTTCAAATAAAGGAATATAATCCAAGTCTAGTTTGATAACAACGGTCCACCGGACCTTAACGAAATTTGAGTGTTTTCTTTACTACGCACGCATTAAATTTGGCATATACCTCTTAATTTGCTTGGCGGCATGGATGGAGCTTTCAAGGCCCTGAACATTTGGGCTAGTAAAAATAATTTTTAACTTATTTAAAAGTTTGTAATTTACTTAATTAATAAATTTGTAGAACTATAAAAATAAATAAATAATAAAAAACTGTAACTTTTGAAAATTAATTTTTCAAATTTAAAAAACTTTCGAAAGTTATTCTATCGATATTTTTATTATATTTTTCATCTTTAATTTTTGTTTAAAAAGATAACTTTCAAAAGTGTTACCAATTCAGCTCCATTTCCTTTCAGCTTGTTTTACCAAGCAGAATCTTGAATTTCTTGTTCGTTCCACCCTCCCCTCCAATAAATACATAAATTAATTAATGCCTTCACCAATCCCATGTTGGGTAAAAAGCGTTTCAAAGAACTACATCCTCTCCCGTTCATACCCAAAAATAAATAAATAAAAATGGCATCTTACAGAGAATAAGGAAATGATGCACCGGGTAACAACAGAATAACATGCATAAGTTAGACACCTAAAAAAATCTTACTAAAGATTTTGAGTAAATAATTTAAAAAAAATTTATTAAAAATTACATTAAAATAAATTAAAAATTGTAGAAAAGAAACATCAATAACATTTTTATTCTTTACTTTTGATTCTTTTAAGACAATAATTAGCATTTGCCAAAGTTACTATAGTCCTGAACTTCATGTTACAAAATCATTTGAACTTATGCGGCTATTCATAACCTTTCCACGGACTACAGTCTCTTCCGCTTCCAGCTTTCATAAAGGTTTCTTTCTCCCGAATTTCCTTTTCATGACCCGTTCCTTCATATTGATTGATCTATTAATATCGTTTAAATATTAATAGCTATTCCCGTAATTGCTTAAATAACAAACTTCAATCCAAGGTGAAGACCTCGCGAAGAATGTTCATTCCAGTAAATAGCAGCAAACTTTAAAAATTTCCAGCATATCACTTCTAATTGTTCTCAAATACTTCCGGATACTTCTAACTTGTAACATTAATTAGATATATGTATAACCTCCATCCTTCAACTTTCAGTGGAAGACATGGATCATAGACACCCAAATCCCTCACAACTGAAACCAATCTTAATTTGATCCAAAAGGCACTCTTCTATCTCCAATAAATCTACACACATTGTAAACACACAACAGCTAACCGATCCACATAAATAACAAACTAGATTTGTCCACTGAACCCACATCAATGCCGAAAAACACGTCTAAAGAGAAAGAAAACAAAAACACATTACAGTAGCCAATTCATAATTCATAGCCATAAAACGCATTATGGCATTCATGTTTATAGTAGTAGTAGTAGTTAAGTCTTACAAGGATTATCCAAATCCAAAAGTGCTAAATCGTGCTTAATTGAAAAAGAATAATATTTAACAGACGAACCCAATTACAGATTCCACTATTACTATATTATTTGTTTTCCAGTTATACAAATCCTAAAAACATCTGTTCCAATTAAGAAAAGGAGCCAAAATTAATCTATGCACTTATCTCAATCATACTCAACCAATATCATCAACATCAATTCTATTCAACCTTCGACTATAAATCAAATAGGGACTAAACCTCAGGTTTCAACCTAGATTTGAAATAGTTGCATATTTCATTCGTACCTAAATATAAAGTTCAACTAAAATAGCAAAACAACCAATAATTAAAATTATGGCCAAAATTTCAGAACTACCAATCACGAAAAAAAGTTTTCCACAGCATAGAACATGAACCGAAAACCAAAGTAAATCTTCAAAAACAACTTTTCTCTTTTCCTTTCTTCGAAAACAAATACCTCAACGGTAAGACTTCTGAAACCTAGCGCGAGCGCCACGACCACCGAACTTCTTGGGCTCGCAGCGCCTGGGATCAGCAACAAGCAAGGTGCGATCATACCGTACGAGGATGTCCTTGATCTCCTTCTTGCTCTGTTCATCAACGTACTTCTGATAGAACGCTACGAGAGCCTTCGCAATGCTTTGGCGAATGGCGTAAATCTGTGAGGTGTGACCACCGCCCTTCACGCGGATTCGCATGTCAACGCCGGCGAACCGGTGCTTCCCCAAGAGAAGGATGGGCTCGAAGGCCTTGAACCGAAGAATTTCCGGTTCGACCAGCTCGATGGGGCAACCGTTGATCTTGATCAAGCCGCGACCGCGCTTGCAGTATGTGACGGCTACCGCAGTTTTCTTCCGACCGAAACATTGAACCTGCTCGAGGTCTTTTGCCTGCGCCATTGTTGTTTGTTGATGCAAAAAGCCTAAATCTGCGCAGTGAGTGAACCAGAGTAGGGTTGGAGAGGGATCTTAAATATGGTTGTCAGGGTTTTGGAGCGAATAAAATGCCCTTATGTCGTCATTATATAATATAATTACTGATGTGTTATAGTGAATTAAGGAATACTAACAGAGGCCTCAGCCCAAAATTAAACAAAACCAAGTGCTGTAAAGATTTGGACTTACACAACAGAAAGTAAAAAAGAAAGATTTGGGCTTAAAATTGCTCCCCAAACCTATGCTAAAGTTTCGCATACTTTGGCCCATTTATAAATTGTAATACCAATTTAGACAAAAAAAAAGTTTTAAAAATATGTAAGACTGGAATATAAGAATTTGTTTATTTTTTATTTTTAAAAACAGTTGTTTTATTTTTTTTAAGTAAAAAAAAATATTTTTTTAACATAAATTTTATTTTTAATTTTTTTAGAAACAAATTTTTAAATTTATTTTAAAATATAATTTTTAAAAATTAAAAATCAAAACAAAAACAAACAAGCCTTAAAAGTTCTTAAGTATAAGCGATTGTTTTATTGTGTGCTCATGGGTTTGAAAATATGTATTTAGATAGAAAGTACTTTATCTTTTATATTATTTAGTTAATGAAGTATTTAGATAAAAAGTACTTTATCTTTTATATTATTTAGTTAATTAGGTTTTTCTCCTCTTATGTTAATTTTTCTTAATAAGAAAAATACCTCTTGTGTTAAATTAACTTTGTTGTTCTAGTGTTCAAATCTTGTTTAATTTTTTGGCTACAATCTATCATTGAAAAAAAAATTAAATGGTATTGAATAAAAAAAAAAAAAGGAGAGAGAGAAGAAAATATGACTTTTGTGTAGTTAGAGATTGTGACTTTCATGCTTCCTTAATTGGGTGAGTTTAAAAGAATGACAAATCTTTTGTATAATAATATTTAAATACTAAAAGACGAGAATGAAACCATAAAATGTAAAGAACAAGTTTCATGTAGTAAAAGAATTATAAATAATATTTTTTTTATCTTCTAATTTGGCTTGAGCTTAGTTAAAAAAAAAAAACAATGTCTCTAAATATGTATAATTATATTTTATTTAAGTTTTTTAAAAAATAATAAAGAGGGACATAAAAAAAATAATGAAGTGAAAAAAAATATACATCTATATAATTTTATTTTATTTTTGTGATTAAGCCCTTCTCATAGATTAAGGAGGTTTTGCCCCTCCTCTAGTAAGTAGTGTTTTATAGCCAAATTAATTCAAGTATATTATCACTACACACAACTTCATCAATTGTCTATGCCCCAATGCATTACCTATATGAGCTTACAACAATATTAACTATACATAATTTTCATGTTTTATGAGTTATTGTATCATGATTCTTCTCTTTATTATTAAAAAATGAGTGCTCTTAAACTTTCATACTATTCTCTAATGAAATCAATTATTTACTTGATAGTTATTTTATGCTACACACCTACCTTTTTCTTTTGCACTAGCATGTTAGTGGGTCTCTCTTAACATATTTGACAATACAAAATTTGATATTAAAAATAATTAAAATAAAATTAACAACACCATTTGAGTCTTATTTTTTTGTTGATATATATATATATATAAAAGCTTCTCACTTTTACAAATAAGAATAGCTTGTATTTTCTCACTTTATTACTAAAAAAATTAGTGAGAAATCAAACTCCTACAAAAAAAAAAAAAAAAATTATAGGGAGAAAAAGGTATACTACCAACATGATCTCTATACCAAAAAATCAAAATAGAATTTTTTTTTTGTTGATTTATGAATTAGAAGCTTTTATATTTTAAATATATCATTTGTATCATAGTTATTTATTTTAATAAATAATATATTTTAAATTTAATTTTTACAATAATGTCATTAAAATAGTAAATATTACTTTGTATAATATTAAGTAAATGATTTGATATTAGTATTGTTCTTAAAATATTCTTAGTCAATTATTAATATTAGAATAATATAATACATTCAAACTAGGGTATAAGTGAACTCATGACTATAAAATATTAAGTCTTTACATAAATACACATTATGAGTAATAATATATTATATTGATCTACTATGAAAACTTTGTATAGATTATTACATGAGCATCATAAAAAAGTCACTGTGATTCTAACATAACAAGCTTCCTATTTTAATTCCATCAAACTTTACCAGTAACAAGGATCAAATTAAAGGTTAGACATAAATAAACCATTAGAGAACTATGAGTTCCAACATAATGAGCTTGTGTGGAATATTGCATGAGTGTTGTAAAAATATTTTAATGTGATAATGATATATGTAATTATATGACCTGAATGTCACTACGATTCTAACATAATGAGCTTCATGTTTTAATCCTATCAAATGTCACTAATAATAAAATTATTATAAAATCAAAGGTTAGACATAAAATAAAATCATGTAGAGGAATATGAGTTATCTAGATGAGATTCATCTCCTCTACACAACAAGAGAAATATCTATAAAGTTTCTTAATAGAGTCAAATTATGAAATGCATGTCTATGCTTAATAAAATAAATACGAAATATTTGTTTCAAAAAGTTTATTCAGGTATCAAAACAATAAAATTAAACTTTACAAAGTACATTTCATGCCTTGTATTCAATTAAATATAAAAAAAATGATTAATCATATAATTTATATATTATCACATAAATATATAATTTAATTTAATAATATTTTTAATATTTAGAAATAATAATGTATTACTAGATGTCACTCATTATTTATAATATTAAATATAAATAATTTATATTTAAATATTATAATTCTAATTAGATGTGTTTTTATTCATTTCATTGTATTATTAGCATAGTGATAGTAGAGGATTCTAATAGATTATTCGTATGGATACCTAGAAAGACATAATTTTAACTACCATATTTGCTAAAATAAAGTATTTCTAAAATCAAATTTGTGTTTATAGACATACTTTGAGATGTCATAATCACATAAAGATTTAAGAATCATTATGTTTTACTATCATTATCATGCATATGATTCCCAACAACTTTTTAACAACTTACAAGCTTTTTGTGAAATCATTTTCTTTTTTTTAATGGAAGTAAAAACTTTGTTTGTACCTTCATCCTTGCCAAGGTAAAAATTTTGCATCTAGACATACATATTCTTTTTCTCTTAGTTGGTTTTATTAACTTTCTAAATAAAATTTTCTACAAATATTTATATTTTTTTAATTATTTTTTCTTAGCTTCCAAGTTTCTTTCATCCATCAAGTCATCCATCTTTATTCTCGAGCTTATAATCGTTCCTATAGGTCAACTCATCTTCTTTGTCCTCATTCATTTCTATCTCTATTATCTCTTTATAATTTCATGTATTATTATAACGAGTGTGATTGATGATAATTATTACTTATATAAATAGATCATATGTTAATTTTTTGTTAAATATGATAATGACAATATTCATTACTGTTTATTAATTCTATCATTGTTGATTACTTTTAAATAAAATTTAGATGTAATACTTTAGATATTGCTAATGTTATTCTCTGATGAGAATTGGAGTTTTACCTTAGTAATATACATAATAAAATTTTGCATTAAAGGCAAGCACATCAACATTAAAAGGTGATACATATTACCAAGGTAAAATTCCAACTTTGATTAAAAAATATGACCAATAAAGTTTATGGCATTACACTTAAATTTTATTCTTCAATTTTTTTAAACTGTTTAGTATGATAATTACAAAGAGGTTACTGAAATTTGTGAATAATTCATTTTATGTGATAGGAGATGATGAATGTGATTAATTATAAAATATGTAATATAAATAACACAGTGAAAATTTAATTTTATAAAAAAAATTTAATTTTTTATCTTACATTATAAATATTTTTTTCCTTTTAATAAAAAAAATTCTAACCATGACTCCGTGAATACAAAACAAAAAACTTCTTAGAACATGTTTTAATGTTTCAACAATTTTTTTTTTGTTTGAGAGTGAAATTTTTTTAATGACATTTAAATTAGTATATGTTAAATATTTTTTTTTAATTTTTTAATAAAACTAGTTTATTAGTTCATGTAATATATAAGTATTTTATTTTAGAATAAATATAAATATAATTTAATAATTAAATAATAAAAATTTATAAATTTTAAAAATAGTAACTTTTTAAAAAATTATTTTAATTTAACTTTATAGCTGTAATTAATATGTATCAAAATAGAAAAAATTTAATAAATTAAACAATTTTAAATTATATATTAACAACATTAGTTTAAAATATAATACTTTTAACAGTAAATTTTAAATTAAAAAAATAAAATTTTTATAAATGTAAGAATAAATATTTATGAAAAATATAAAATTTATATAAGACAATGAAAGAAAGTTAAGTAATAACTTTAATAAATATATAAATAAAAATTAAAATTATTACAATAAAAAAAGAGTATAATTTATATATAATTTTTAATCAATTTTAAACATAAAAATATATACATCGTAAACTATGAAAGAAAATGATTGTATTAATATTTTTCTAAAATAATAAACTTTCATTTATAATATAATAACTAAATTTCTCAAAATTTTAAAAAATATTTTAATTAATAAAAAAATATTTTGTTATTCAATCAATAGTAGGAATTTATAAATTTCTAACTTCTCCTCCCTCTTTTTTTTTTTTATTTCTGTCTCTTCCTCTTTCTCTCTCTATATTAATAAAATAGTAAAATTTCTAATTTTTTTTATTAAAAACATTATTATCAATCTTATTAAATTTGATATTCTCATAAAATTGTTTATAAAAATTTGCACATTCAAGAAAGAATATAGATGGTATTGTCTATCATTATAGAGAAATGAAAATGAAAGACTTTCAAAATATTTGATCCAATTAAAATTTTCAAAATGACTTGAGTAAACTAAAAAATTTAATTATTAAAATTAAATATTAAAATTGAATAAGTAAACAATTAATTAGATAAAATTTACACAATCCATAAATTATTTAATTCTTTATTTTAATTTATTTTAATAAATAATATTTTATTCAAAATATAAACAAATAATTATCATTAAATTTTATATTCATTAATTATAAAATATCTGTTAAATGTAATTAGCAAAAATATATATATTTTAAATGTATATTTTGTATTAATAAACTTTCTAAAAAAATTATTAGTAAATAAAATTAATTGTTACAAAAATTAGTATCTAGAAAAATATAAAAATATAATAAATATTATTGATTTGTATCTTTTTAGAAAATAGTTTATAAAATATTTAAAAAATAAAATTTAATACATCTTGATATAAAGCATATAATAAAGCGATTAATATATATCTGATAATTTAATTTTTATTTTTTATTTTTAGTTGTTTTTCAATTAATAATTTTTCTAGAATATGTTGAAAGAGACAAAATAAAAAAAATACTAATTTTATTAAAAATTATATTATTTAATCTTATTAATGCATTGTATGTTGCGTTTTCTAGTAAAATTATTTTATTGTACACATATAAAAAATTATTAAATTAAATATCACAGGTTATTTTAAATTTAAGTAAGTATTAAAGTATTTTATTTTTAATTATTATCGTTCATAAGGAATATTTAAAATTAATAAATTTAAATTGAATATTAATATAATTTTAATTTATTTAATTTTTTACATTTTAATTATTAAATTTTTTTACTCATTGAATTTTTAATTAATTAATTTAATTGTATTAAATTGATTTTATTATTTTTATAAAAATCAATAAAAAATTTAATTATATATTTTATAATTTATAACATATTTTTATATTAAATAAATTAAGTAATATTATTTTATATACAATAAATATTGTAACAAGATTAAAAAATTCAATTTAAAAATATTCATTGCAATTCTAAAAAAATATAATAGTACAAAATTCAAATGCTATGGTATAATGAATTTATTTTAAATTTGATTCATATGGAACAAATATTAAAAGAATTAAAAATATGATTTTTATATATTTTTTATTATTAAATTTAAGTAATATATGCATATTTTAAAACTTATTCAATTAGTAAAAATATTGACTTTAAATAATTTTATATAGAGCAGTCATAGGATTATTAAATGTGTATACGAATGTCAAAAAGGAGTTATGAATACTAATTACTAGTGTGTTTTTACGTTTATTGTGTCTTCAATAAACGTTAAATGAACGTTGCGTTTGCTTCATTTTAACGCAATACTAGTTATTCACTACCTCTTGAAGTGAAGTGATTTTTTTTTATACATGAATCTAATAAATGGTTTTTATAAGTTAGTCATTAAAAAATACTAATAATTAAGAAGGAAAAAAAGTTCCAATGCAAATTATAATAGAAAAATCAATATTTGCTGAAATCAATATATATCATTGAAGGATATTGATGATGAGTTATTGAAGGATCAACAAAATAATATAGAAACTTAATCAAAAGTGAAAAGCTGAGATTTCCAAAAAAGTTAAGGATGACATCACCAGAAGAATTAAAGATATGTATACTATACTAAAAATATAATCAATAATAAAATATTAAAATATGTATACTATACTTTAATTTTACTACATGTGTGACAATACATGATTGATTTTAATTAAAAAATATGTGTATGTCAATAAATTATTTATAATTAACTATAAATTAATATTTTAATTTGTAACGTATTTTTCACATTAAAATTATTATATATTAATTTTTGTATTTAAACAATTTCATATAATCCACCATAATGTATCTAGTTTTCCTCTTGATTAAGATATTAAAGTAAATTAATAGAAGTGCAGTTGGTGTTTGGTAGGGTTGAAGAGGAAGTTACACCAAAAAGCCAAAGGAATTGAAGCAGAAGAAATTGAAAATTAAAATATGAATAGGTAGGGATATGATCAGTAGAAAGTAGGAAAGAAATAGGGTAACAATTTTCCCGCATGCTTCAGACATGCGTCGTGTAACTATTGTTAAACTCAATTAAACATTTAACAATTTAATAGTTTTGTCAAAAATAAATATTATTATTCATTCGATGGTAGTTTAAATATATATTTATTTAAAAGCATATCTCTGTTTCTTTATAATTCATAGAAATAACTAATATTTCGTTTAAATATATAAATTTTCAAACACAACCTGTGTTTAAAAAAATACAATACTTGTGTCCTTATTACAGAATTAGAAAAGGAGAGAAAAGGAATAAAATTTTGAGCATATATTATTTGAAACACATTCATGGTCTCCTTCCCCTCAATTCCATCCTTCCACGGAAACACACATATATCCTCTTTCTAATCAACCAAGGTTAACTGGCTTCGAAATAGACCAAGTTGGTGGATATAAATCAAATAAGGAAAAAGGTCACTTGCACGTTTCCATATCAACAATAAGAGAAAAATACAGAAGCACATATTTTGCAGAAAGGAAAACGAAAAATATTGATTGCTTTTAAGCTTTAGATGCTTTAGCTCCGACTCAATAATGACCCATATCATGAGGGATGACGAAGCAACGGTGGATCATGATTGTCCCCACAAGGCAATCACTTGATCCTACGGCAGAGAGTGATTCCGTCACCTACTGGAAGCATGCAAATTTCGATCCTGGGGTCCACACCCAAAGACTTGTTGAGCTCCAACACGAAGTCCCTGTAATACCTAACATACTTCCTAAGAGGAGCATCTGGGGGTGCCACCACAGACCCGTTCCACAAGGTGTTGTCGTACCCGATCACCCCTCCAACCTTGACAAGCTCAATCAACCTCTTGTGGTAGTTGAGGTAATTGTCCTTGTCCGCATCCACAAAGATAAAATCGAAGCTACCAAGGTTCTTTTCCTGCATTTCCCCACACACAAATGCCACTCGGTTAGCCTTTTATTAATTAAATTACAAGTTTTTTTTTAATTTAATTTTTAAAATATTTGTTTTCCTAACATGCTCATATCATGCTAATTAACAATATGTCCATGTTATAAACAAATATTTTAAATTTAATTAATAAATCTTGTAATCAATTGCGATAAAACACTCTTTAATAACATAGTCTTTTCGTATTATTTAATAACATGAAAATTCCATTTCTTCTTCTTCTTACAACTGGAACACTAATGAAAGTGAGAGATGGAGAAGCTTACGTCTTTAATCATTTCATCGAGAACTGGGAGAGCAGGGCCTTCCCTGAAATCAATTTTGTGGGCAACACCAGCTTTTTTTATTACAGGCAAACCAAGTTCGTAATTCTCCCTGTTAATGTCCATGGCCAAGATCTGTGGCAAGTACAAGTACAAACTCAAGTTTAGGCCCCTTGCATTTAACACGTGATATCCAAAACTGAACATGTTTGATGACTAGATCTAAACTATCTTTACCAGAACACAAAAAGAAAAGAGTTGCATTGAAACGACAGGTTTGGAACTCAGGATTTTGGCAATAAATACCAAGTTAAATGGTTTGGTTAGAAAATTTTCTCTCTTTTTTTTCTTTTTAAATAAAAAAGGGCTTTATTGTTGAGGGTGCTAAACTCTACTCTTGATCATACCTTTCCATCTTCAGGAAGAGCGAGGGCAGTGGCAAGCAGGGAGTACCCAGTGTAGACACCAATTTCCATGGTGTTTTTGGCATTGATAAGTTTAAGGAGCAAGTTCAAGAATTGCCCTTCATCTGCAGAGGTTGTCATGATGTTCCTGTTGTTGAGTTCAACAAATAATCAGCAACCGAATATTCCCATACTCAAAAAGCCATGAGCAGAGAAACCAAACAATTGACATGGAAACGGGAAATTCAATTCTTGGGAACGACGAATTATACCATGGATGCTTTGCTGTCAACTCTCTCAACTCTTTCATTGCTTCATGTTCTCTTGGGTAGACACTGGTCTCTAGAATATACTGAAAAAAATTTATGATTTTGTCAATAACCCAAAAAAAACCAGATGGAACAAATGGCCATCGATTCATCATCCATAGAAATGATATCAATCTTGGGGAGCAAAAAGATTTAAAAAGTTAATAATAACAAATGCATGCAATAGGTGTACCTGGTAGAGAGCATCACTCTGCAGAAGGCTCTTGTGACCAACCTCTTGGTGCCTTCCAGCTTCAGTTTGACTCTGATCACCGTTGTTTGCCATTGCTATAATCTTGTATTTTGTACCCTTTTCTTTCTCCCTTCTCAGCTTCTGCTCTGTGTGGAAAGTTAATTGGGCTTGTCAAAATGGGTGTAGGAGAGTGGTCAATATAAGGAAGGAAAAGACCGGTTTGAACCGGTAAAGTGAAAGGAAAAGGACTAAGATGTTTGGTTGAACCGGGTGGCGTCCGGTCCGGGGTTGGTGAGGTTTTTGTCCAATGCTTGAGCAATCAGCATACCATGGTTCAGGCTCCACTTAATAATAGAGCCTACCGGGTCCTGTTCCATTTGTTGGTAAGGGATTTTCTGCATTTACGGAAATAGGTTATGACATCATTTTTATGAATTATGACATTTAATATATAAACCAGGAGTGGTTATTATGATCATCTACAGGATATACCGTTCATTATTCGGCCATTTAATACATTTTCAAAAAATTATTTCTTATAATACTATTAAATGCATTTAAAGAACAGCACCCTACTGAGTTTTTAAAGTAATTTTTTATAAGCTTTATCTTATATATATGGTGTCATGACTGACGCAGTTTTCAGAAGTTTATGTGTTTTCCTTACAATTTTACAAAGAATATTTGCAAACTAGATAAGGTTATTTTTATGGATTCTCTAACTTACGTTTAAAGAAATATAATAAAAAATTAATAATAATAATAATAATTTATTATTAAAATTATAGTATTTATAACATTATTAATGTATTAAATTATATAATATTTTACAATTTATAATAAAAAATTTATTATTATGTATTCTTAAACATTCATTAAAAAATATTATACCTTTGTTTGCAAACGAAATAAGCTCAGGTTCATAAATCATAACTGATATTTTTCATAAATGTTTTATTTATTTTCTTCCATATCTAACTAATTGTGTAAATCACAATTCACAAACGGGACAGTGGGATGTTGGTGATCAACGAGTGGCTGGTTGGAATGGCGGGTCCCCCGGGTGTGGTTGAAAATTGCACATGGCAAATGGAATTGGTATGGGGTTGGTGAAGGTACTGCGCGTAGACGTGTAAGAGTTGGCCCTCTTCTAACGATTCCAATTTCAGTTTACCAAATTTGCGAAAGGGAATTTAGAGTAAAATATCGGACTCTGTGGTTCAGCTGTTTTTTCCGCTGATATTCTGATTGAATGCAAATGCATGCAGGACTTTTCAGTCTGTTTTTGCCTAAGTGGCAGTTTATCAGAAGTTTACATGATCCATGCCAATACCTTTTTTTTAAAAAAATTTCATTTAACAAAAGTGAAATTGAATTTTACCCTTCTGCATTTGCTAACACCATTAAAGCTGGAATTCCTATCCTATAAACATTTTACTTTTTAATTAAAAATTAGTTTATTTTGAATAAATTATTTTACTTTCATAAAATTATAAAAGTAATTTTGTTTTTCTCGAACGTTCACTAATTGAAAGATAAGTAATACAGAAAAGTCACACATCAATCTATATCTTCGAAAAAAATAATATGGAACTCTGATAATTCAGCCCCACAAAATTTGGATAAAATAATTTTTAGGCTTAAGTATTATTTTATATTTTAATTTAATTTAAATACATTCACAGTGTAATTTTACATTCTCAGTGGATCAAAATTAAACTCTTTTTATATATTTTAATTTATTGTTAAATAAAAATATTGAAATAAGAAAATCAAAATTAAAATTTTAATTTAAATAAAAAAAATACATTTCAGCCTTTCTAAAAAGCAGTGAGTAATAGATAATGAAGAATCCTCCCTCAGTTAATGAAAGAAGACTTCTGCATCAAATGATGTTACAAAATTCTGTGATTCATCCAAAGTAATATGGCAACAACCGAACATAGCATAGAATATAAAGGACATGATATTATGTTCGAGAAAGAGAGAGAGAGAGAGACCCAATGTTAGGTGTAGACTAATAGAAGGGAAAGGTTAGTTTCTTTGAGTCAAAGCGATGGGAAAGTGAGTGGCTGAAATCTAAGAATTGGAGAAGAGGCGAACACAGACCTGTTGAACGAACATACCGGGAAAAAAATAATGGCATTGCTATGGTGCCTCTACAATTAGAAGGGTTTAAGACTATTAATATCACATCATTATTTAAATATTTTATTTTTTATTTTTTTATTAATATTTACAATATAATCTTTTCATATTTTAAAATTTTTATTACTTTCGGCAATTCAATCACTCTCAACTATGGTAAATTCTACTTTTACTACGCTGATTTTCACTGCTACGCCATGCTTATCCTTTTGATCTCAACCCCTTAATTCGTTAAAGATGCTGTCATCGTCGTAGACCAATTTGTAAAAGATTGGTTTATCTTTCACCAGCAAGTTAAAAGAAGAGGATTGAGGTCTAGATCTTGGGGTTTAAACCTGAAATTGATAGTTTAGAGACCATCAAAATAGTTCATGGCGGGATTTGAATTTTCTCATGTTCTGGCGGAAACATGAGTCTATTGTTGCCATTCGCTTAAACAAATTTCAAACGGCTTAAACAAAATTAAGTGAATTTTTGCTTAAGTGGTGAATTTTTAGCATAAGCGACATAATTATAGGATTCAGGCTTCCAAGCGAGGTTGGTGAATCCTCGCTTAAGCGACAAATCATGGCTTAAGTGAATGTGGAATCGCTTCACTCTACCCAAACGAATATGTTTAATCTTAAGCGAATTTGGGACAGAGAATCATTAATTTCAGGCTAGTTACTTGCTTAAGCTCTTTTAAACTCGCTTAAGCGAAATGTTATTGGCTTGAAGCGGAAGCAAGCAAATTTATTTAAAATGAAGCAAATTTAGGACAGAAAGCACTGATGCACAAGCCTCTAATTCGCTTAAGCTAATATGGATCCGCTTAAGCGAATGGCTCTACCGCTTGAGCCTACTTTTGTGATATTGCAACGAATTGAAAATGGCTTAAGCAAAAATGAGGGCTTAAGCAAATTGTGCAAAAAAAAGGTAAATTATGCACAAACTAACAGCATGTTAAAACTTTACAAAATTTGTTATCAAAGTTAATTCCACTCATCCAGAAATAGTTAACTGTGACAACAAAACATAGATAAAGAGTCCATTCCATTCCATTAATGCTAAACAATTGTTCACAATGAAATCATTAATACATAGGCAATTCAAAAACAAAAGAAGCTGAGGTAATCCATTCCAGGATTGTGAAAATATAATTGATGTAACATATTTTATGTTTATATTTAATGTTTTATTTTGATTAATAAACACTTTTCATATGCTTTATTTTTATAGTTTTTACCATTTTCTACTTATTTGAATAAATTGGGTCTATTATAAATAAATGCTTTAATTTCGTATTTTCAGTTATTCTGACCTCTGACTACTCTTTTAGCCATAACTTTTTCTACAGATATCATTTTTGGTTGATTCTCGTTGCATTGAATTCTATACATCTAGGGCTTCAAAATGCTTATATGGATTGCTGGATTTTGAGTTATTTTCAATTTTTTATGATTTTTTGAAATTGAAGCAACTTTACTGAATATTGTTGTGAGATTGTATTTGAACCATTGTTATTTAATAATTGTATTTGGGCTTTTAGATATTATTGAGGCCCGTATTTTGGCCACTTAATTTAGCCTAATCAGAATTTATAAATAGACTAATAAGGTTCTGAATTTGGAGGGGATTAGTGTAACACCCTGAATTTTGTAATATTAATTATGGATAATTATATAAATCTAAATGTATATTATGTGTGTATTTTTAGATATATGTTGTGAATATGTATATATATATATATATATATATATATATATGTAGATTGGTGTATGTATAACTGATTGAGTTGAAATAGGCTAAGTGCCTAAGTGCAGAACGTGATACTGGGTTGTTCTCTCTGTAGCGAGAGAGCCCTGGAAGGAAGAATCAGAACTGTCGCCTTCTTGCTGTAGCGAGAGAGCAATAGTTTGGGGTGCATTTTTGGGTGCACTTTCGCTGTAACGAGAGGGTCTCGCTGTAGCGAGATTCTACAGAAACCAAAGTGCAGTTTTCTTTAATTTTTTTGCTGTAGCGAGAGGGCGTGTCGCTGCAGCGAGAACCTCACTGTAGCGAGAGTGTCGCATCCAGAAAGGGATTTAAAGGGGGTTAGGATTCGGGGATAGTTATTTCTCCCTCTCCCTTCAAAATTCCTTTGATTTTCTCGTTCTCAAAGCCATATTTCACCGATTAATTGCCTCCAAAGCCGTTTGGGAGCTTGATTGAAGGTTAAATTCATGTGAGGAATGCTTGGAGGTAAGTTTTAATGGTTAGGGTTTCAGTTTTTCATCCCCTTTCTCTGTTTTCGTGTTTCCCCTGGGTTCTCATGGAGTTTCTCTATGTGTTTAGGACGAAATCCATGAGGAGAAGCATTTCTTGGTAGATTTAGCGCGTGAGACGTCAATCCAAGGTAAAGGATGACTCTATCCTACTCTTTTGTGCATGAATTGTTGTTGTTTTGCTGAATATTGTGTTGTGGCTGAGTTAGTGGGTAAAAAATTGCTGAGAAATATAATGTGGGTCAAGTGTCATGATGTGTGAATATTATGTGTGTTGACCCAAAATTGATGGATTGTATGTAAATGTTGTGTGATAAAATGAGGGCATGTATGCCGAGTGTTTTGAATGAGTATGGGTACTTGTGCCGTGTATTTGAATGAATATTGTGAAAATGTGGGCCCAAGGGCCGTGTAATATAAACGATAATTGTAGACTATGTGCCATGTGCTGTGAAATAGAATGTGGGCTGTGTGCCATGTGTAAGCATGATTACTGCATGCGTGAATGGAATATGTACGATTGGGCATATTAGCGCCGTTGTAATGTGCTATGAATAGTTCAGCGATACACTGGGGATGTGGAAGATGAGGACGGTAGAAATACCTTGGGGAAAAAGGAGTGGTGGTGACACCGACTGCGGAACGGGTGCACCACGGGCCACACACTCTCTTCCTGACTAAACCTCTAACTACTATCTTTGCTAAGCGACCCGTAACAACGCACGTGGTATCCGTGAGGCAGGGGTAACCGGCGACCATTCATGGTGTAAATCTATGATCATAGTACTATAGTGAGTGTGGCTGGTATGCATATGCATGGATTTGTGTTTTGTACTTATGGATGTGAATTGCTGCTTGTGATTGTGTTTGTTGAATGTATTGAGAAGGTTTTAGAGGTGAGACTCTATGTTGATTGTGTGTTTTGGGTAGTGTAGAGTACTCACCCTTATATTCATTTTTCAGATAATCAAGACG